TATATTAATCTATTATATAGTGTACAAATTTTTTTATCATTATTATTATTTTTTTGAGACTAAGTCTCACTGTGTCAACCTCACTAGTGCGCTGTGGCATTAGAGCTTACAGCAACCTCAAACTCTTGGGCACAAGTGATTCTCTTACCTCAGCTTCCCTTGTAGCTGAGAAGACAGGCACCCGCCACAAGGCCTGGTTTTTTGTTTGTTTGTTTTTAGCAGGCTTGGGTGGGGTTCAAACCCTCCAGCCCCAGCCCTGGCATGTGACTGGACCCTACCTATTGAGCTATAGGCACCAAACCTACAGTTTTTTACAAAAATTTCCTCTACTAAATTATGATCCCTGAGTTTAAAGTTATATCTTGAGTTGGATCACCCAACTATCTTGAATATTATGCATATTATATGTTTAATGTGGTTGTTTGGGAAGGGGGAGATAGCCCTTAATGGGGAGAATCAGCAAACTGAAAATCCTTTGAGACTGATGTCCCTATTCATTTTCTTTCCCAGTGTAGATGAGACTTTTTGTTTTTAAATAGCTCCAGAGAATGAAAATTTATAATCAATCCAGACTTTATACATTCTCACTGAATTATACATTATTTCAGGAAATAATATTGCCAACAGTAAGCATAAAAGTCATCATACAGGGAACGCTAAAATGGATCAAGCAGGTGATGTTACCAGTCCACTTCTAAGTTCTCGTCTTAGTGAAAGGTATGATGAAGCTATTACATTAAAATATTTAGATGAAACATTTCCCTACATACATTTGTTTTTGAAGATAAATTTAATTTTTATGCTAATATTTTAGCTGAGAGCCTATTGGAAAATTATATATTATTTAAATCTTTTAGGTGGGGAGGTGTCTTGTAATACTGAATTGGCTGGTGCTTTGTATATTCTGTGTCTTTTTAAGTAACAAAAATAATAATGATGAAAAAGCGGTAAGTCCTTGAAATTTTTATACATATCACATATATAGTTATGTATATCGCATAATTAGATGATCATTTGTGTCCTTTGAATCTTTGGCAAGAATGTGATGCTATTATAGATTTACTTTACATAATTTTTAAGTTTAAAATACACAAGTCCTAGCTGCTGAAATTTGTGAGTACTTTATTGCTTTCTCTGAGCATGTTAAACATTGCTTCATGGTTACTTAATTCTTTAGGGAGATTTACATTGGAAAAGGTAATATAAACGTATTTAAAAGTAGTATAATTCTAACAATTGAAGTGATTTTTTTTTTTTAAAATTAGTGTTTTGTATATTTTTGCCATTATTTTTTAAATAATCTGAGGGATTTTTTTGGTTTGTTTTAGTCCTGTTCTACAATATACACATGTTACACCACAAAGGGAAAAATCAGGTAAGATTAAAACAAGGCTTTTTTATTCTTAAATACTAGAAATACTGGCTCCTGCTTTAACAGCCATTGTAGTATATTTAGCTCCATAGAAACAGTACTGGGGCAAGCGAGAGCTGGACAGGCACTGGGTGACTGTGCCTCAATGAGGAAAAATAACTAAACATGAGCAAAGGAGATCTTAAGAAGCCGAGAGGCAAAATGTCATCATATGCATTCTTAGTGCCAACTTGTCGAGAAGAACATAAAAAGCAGCACCCAGATGCTTCAGTCATGTCTTCTAAAGAGAAAGGAAAATTTGAAGATAAGGGCAAAGGCAGACTAGGCCCATTAGAAAAGAGAAATGAAAACCTGTATCCCTCCTAAAGGGGAAACAAAGTTCAAGGATCCTAGTGCACCCAAGAGGCCTCATTTGGCCTTTTCCTTTTTCTGTTCTGAGAATTGCCCCCAGATCAAAGGAGAACATTCCAGGCTATCCATTGGTGATGTTGCTAAGAAGCTGGAAGAGATGTGGAATAGCATTACTGCAGATGATAAGCAGCCTTATGAAAAGAAGGCTGCAAAGCTGAAGGAAAAATACGAAAAGGATATTGCTGCATACCGAGCTAAAGGAAAGCCTGATGCAGGGAAAAAGGGAGGTGTCAAGGCTGAAAAAAGCAAGAAAGAGGGGGAGGAGAAAGAAGATAATGATTATGAGTAATTTGGTTCTAGCGTAGTTTTTTTTTTCTTGTCTATAAAGCATTTAACCCCCTGTACACAATACACTCCTTTTAATGAAAAAAATTGAAATGTAAGGCTATGTAGGATTTGTTTTTAAACTGTATGTGTCTTTCTTTTTGTATAGTTAACACACTATAGAATGTGTTGGCACAGAAATTTAAAGCATGTTCTTATTCATGCGCAGCACAAATTAGTTATATAGTTGGGGATGATGGTTTTTTCATCTTTAGTTGTCTCTGATACAGTTATGTGAAATAATTGTTTTGTTAACTGAATATACCACTCTGTAATTGGAAAAAAGAAGTTGCAGCTGTTTTGTTGACATTCTGAATGCTTTCAAGTAAATATGTTTTTTTTATTAGTTCTATTGTCCTTTTCATAGGTCTGAAATTTTTCTTGAGGAAGCTAGTCTTTTGCTTTTTGCCCATTATTGATCACATGAATTATTAAAGCTTTTATCTCCACACCCTGCATGTCATGATGGGGGTAATAAAGTTAAATTGAGATAGTTTTCATCTATAACTGAAACTCCAAAGTTGGTGACAAATTTCACACAGCCTACTTATATTTTACAAAGTGAAGAGTAAGCAATCTACTCACAGCATGGGATTATTAGAATCAAACATTTTAAAAGTCTGTCCTTGAAGGACTGGTAGAAAAGTATGTTCTAATCTTTACATGAGGACTCTATTCTTCAACTTCCATTACCATGTAATGGCAGTTATATTTTGCAGTCCCCACGTTAAAGAAGACCTGAGAATATATTCCCAAAAGTGTCGGCTTAAAATGCAAGACTATCTGCCATGTTGCATTTTGTGTTGATGTTAGTCCCAGCAAAGACTAGGAAAATGCTGGCTGTAAATGTCTTTTCCCATGTACCTAAATATGGACTGCTCAGGAAACTTTAGATTCTCCATTAAGAATATCTTTAATTAATTGGGACACCCTTTAAAATAATACATTTAAAATAGGTTATATTTTCTTGTATTGTGGTTTGCCCCTTTTTAAATCAAATTGATAAGAGGAAAGAAGGTGCTTAAACTTTGCATCTTAATACAAGTTATTCAATTCATTTGAATTTAATTTTTCCTTACAAAACTCACACATTCATTAGAGTCATGTTTATCTTCTTAGCAGTTTAGGAAACAGTTTTTTGTTTTTATTTTTTTTTGAGACAGAGTCTCACTGTTTCCCCCTCAGTAGAATGCTGTGGTGTCACAGCTCACAGCACCCTCAAACTCTTGGGCTTAAGCAAGTGGCTGGGACTATAGGCGCCTGCCACAACGCCTAGCTATTATTTTGTTGTAGTTGTCGTCGTTTAATGGCCCTTCCACACTGGTGTATGTGGCCAGTGCCCTAATCACTGAGATATGGGTACTGAGCCGATTTTGTGGTTTTTAAGACTATCATTCTCTTAAAGTGCCAGTATTTTAAAATAGCATCCTTGTAATTTTACATGCTTTTGTGATGGAGTGCTATTTTGTTATATAATTTTGACTTGTATTCTTTCCATTAGCATTTGTTTATGTAATTTCAGGAGGAATACTGAACATCTGAGTCCTGTATGATACTAATAAACTAATAATTGCAGAGGTTTTTTTTAAAAAAAAGAATACTAGAAATGTTAATAAAGGCTCAGCGCCTGTGGCTCAAGTGGCTAAAGTGCCTGCCACATACACCTAAGGTGGCAGGTTCAAATCCAGCCTGGGCCTGCCAAACAACAATGACA